TTTCGGGTTTGTATTTTTATATTTTAAATTATTTTTTACTTTAGACATTTTTTCTCGGTATTCTTTAATTTTAATGTTTAGGTTGTATATTTTATTCTTGAGATTATTATTTTTTCTCAGATATTATGTCTTTACATTTTTATTTTACAGCTTTTCTTTAATTTTCTGTTGGAATATTACATTTTACATTTTTTTCGTGTCGAATTTATTCAACATTTTATTTTAAAATAATTTGTCATTTTGCTCTTGATTTTTATTTATATTTTTTTTCAGATGTTATTATAAATTATTTATAACTACTAATTTTTTGTAAGTCAAATTATATCCCTTGTTTTATAAATACCATAGATATATTTGTATACAATTCCGGTTTAAATTGGTTTTTTTTATTTTTGTATGTACATTGATTTTATATTTTTAATAAATTTCGTTTTTTTTATTCAGTGTGATTTGTAGAATTATTGTCCGATTCTCGATTGTTTGATTTTTGTTTTGTTTTATCGATTCTTGAAATGTTTATCTAGCAAATAATATTCAATTCCACATGTATTGAATAAGAGAAATTATACTAGAAAGTTTTATATATTAAATTGAATGACCGTACTATGGATAAATCGTCTTTTTAAGTAGGTATTTATTTTTTATAGTACAACCATCGTCGTTATAAATTAATGTACCTATAAGTTTTATTACATCAGGTATAGATTTGTTTTTATTCAATAAGATTTACAAAATTACTTATACTCCGTTTCTTGACAATTTTTGTGTGAGATAAATTTATTTTGATATTTTGGTGTGTATGAATCAAAAGCTTGATAAAAAATTTTCAGTCTTTATATAAATGTATGGTAAACTCTGGATATTTCGGATTTTGACAGTTATATTCTGACGATGTACGTTTATTTGCCTCATAAAAAATATGTAAAATACAAATTCAAACTAAAAAAAAAAAATACTATCGAAGAAAAAATTATAAACATAAACAGATATTATCTATGTGAAAAATATAAATCTGAAAAAAAAAATTACAAATACCATTGAAAAATGTGCATGTGCATTGGTACCTAAATATTTATTATAGAGAAATACGCGAACAAATGTTTAAAGTAAAAAATTATTTGAAGTATAAAATCCGACGAAAAATAAAAAGAGGCCAAATTCTCGTTTTTCTAATGAACAGTAAAACCTACAAATCAGGGTACAAATCTAGACTAGCTGGTATACTAGTGGCGGCATTCTCTTTTTTCTTTGGACGTTCTTTAATGGAACAGAGCAGGGATCAACAATCTTTTTAACTGCAGTTTTTTAACCGTGCGTTTTCGTATTTTTCAAAATTTTTTGTCGATTGTCACGTTAAAAATAATAATAATAAAAAAAAAAACATTCGACAGAATATGATACAAATACTATTAAGTATAATAATTATTTTTAATACTGTTAAAAACTATAACAATATGATAACAGTTTACATCAACGTTACTTATGTAACATAATGCAAGTATATGAGTTGTACGCATACATATTGAGTTTTAGTGTTCAATTTATAAAAATTGTTTTAGGAAAAAATTAAAAAAATATAAATTGTAAACCAATGCTTTTTCCGTAGTTACGATTAATTTGTTGGTTTGTCAATAAACGACCTGCGAACGAGCGGCTGAGACTCGTATAATATGCATTGTGCAGTAAACATTAATCGCTAAAAGGCATGAAGAGTGTTTAACTTGACCGACATTTTTAATTACGTACATTACACTGATAAATATAATTTATTAGATAAATAGAACAAAATTCTGAAATTATCATAATATTGAAATATTTAAAATTTAACGTAATCTGGAGAAAAAAACTTAGAAAGAACGAGAAATGCACAAAAATAATGCTTTTATTATTTTCGGCTTTGTTATAATTTTATAAAAAATATCCGTAGAAACTTGAAATTCGGATAAAAATCTTATATGTATCTGCTATGTATTTTAATTTTGTGAGTTTTTTACGCAATTTTTTTTTTGGTTAGTACTCTATGAAGAAAATTGTTAGACTAAACATGTTGTATGCTTGGAAATTTAACACGATGTTCATTTTAAGTCATACTTATTGGTCAGAAAAATACAATTGAGTGTAGTTTTTTTTTTTTTTTTTTATTAGAGTGTGATATCAAATTCAGACGAAAACCGTAAATATTAGATACGAACTTTCAAAATACGTACAACTGATCTACACTCCGAATCGTTTTTTGTTTGCAATGGTTTATCATTGCGCGAAGACATAAATTAAATAACTTTATATATCTTATTACGTAACTGTATTCCCACCTACAACATGCGCAGTAGCACATCCGTCCCTGTAGTGTCGACTCTTTTTATTTTTTTTTTCATTGTATTTTACGTATCGTTTGTATTTTAATTTTCACCAAACACGGTCTATTATTACTTACGGTGCTTAAAATATTTATTTTTATAATTATTTTATTTATTAATATTATTTTCCAGACGTGGTAACATTTTTGAGTTATTTATGTATAATTGTAAAATTTAAAAAAATAACGGATTTATTTCGTACGTGGGTGCAGCCACTATTGTAGGTGAGAAGTTGGAAAGGTAGAATACAGATGGAAATTTAATGTATATTTGTAAGCAATGATAAATAATTGCTAACGAAAAAACGATTCTGAACGGAGTTTATTTGATAGTGTTGATTTGACAACAATTGACAAGTATATATCATATTATGGTAAAATGATCAAAACAAGGTGCGTTTCCACGACAACGATTATTTAAAAAAAGATTAAAACAATAAAAACTTAATAATAGAAAATAAACAGAAAATAAATAAAAACTGTTGCTAAGAATCAGGTTTTTCTTATTATCTCGAATATTAATGAGAATTTTAAAAAAAAATGACCACTTTATAGTACCACCCAGAAAACATTTCCTTTCAGAAAAGATGCTATACTTGATAATCGGAGTATGCTTTCTGGTAAAAAAGTGTCTATTTATATAAAAAAAAATAAATAAAAATCATTGTAAAATCAATAAGTTTCTCACTCCACTCAGTATCTAAAATGTAAGATATTTAAAGCTAAGTATTTAAAAGGTTTGAGAATTTTTTAATTTTAATTTTTTGATTTCGTGTGGATAATTTTTTTTATGAAAATTTTACACTGACCATTATCTACAGTCTACAGGTTACCACTAATAATATATCTACCATTCGTGCAATATTTATATTTCCTATGGGATTTGGAGCTTTTAGATTCTGTAAAGCAAATTGATAGGCATATTAGTTTTATATAATATAATGATGTGTTTTTAAGTCTCATGTAACATTTTTTTGAATACAGTAAATGAGATGAAAAAAAAAAGTTTTACGTTGACATTTTAAAATGTATGAAATCTGACTCTAATTAGATATCATATATATTTGATGTATAGCTAGTCGTTTTTGGGATTTTTACGAAAAATTTAACAAAAGTGGAAAAAAAGTAATTCAATATTATACCTGTATTTGATTCTCGGAATTAGCTTTTTTATAAAATACGTGGCTATGTTAAAATTTAATAATCTACGTAATGTATTATATAGGTAAGTACTGTATACGAAATGAGACGAGTATATTTAATTACCACAAAAAAAAATTGTTGTTTAATTCATGGACGTGCCCACATCGTTTTTACCAAAAATTTGATTTTTTGTTTCTGCTAAAATTAATAAAGGTTTGGAAAAAAAATGCCTATGTACCTATGTTTTTTTACATTCATTTTTATGTGATTATTATTATTACATTACAAGACGGGGATGCGGTCTGTGCAGCGTCTACACTCGTCCTGCCTAGTAAGTCTATATAAAAGTCTAAATACGAGAGTACAAAATATTTTGATGAGTGTATTGTTGAGAGTAATTAAAATAAATAAATAGTTAACCAACTTTGCAAATACTATGTAGTATAACCTAACGGATAAACACGGTTACGTAAGATGTTACTTGATTTTTGATTACACGGTTGCGTGCGAATTGCGTTTTAAGCATTGTTGCTAATTTTCATACCGTAAGTATATAGTATATACCATATGAGTGAATTAGAAATAATTAAGAAACACTCTGTGTTTTTCCAAAAAACCGTTTATTGTTAACGGTATCAATGTAATATCAAATAAAGCCGGTTATGCGTTACCAGGTGACTCGTCAAAATATCCTGCTAAAAATATCTCGGACAAAATATTCCATGACAAAATATCCCGCGTAAACATCAATTTAAGGTTTTAACCTAAAATTTTTAACTTGTACTATAAAAGTTGCGATTAGATATGTTATGCGATTAGAAGTAATGAAAGAACAACAATGATCGCACTTTATCTAAAGTGATTGTGTGTTATTCGTTATTTTGATAATAGTATAATATTTTTCAATTCATCGAAAAACATATGCAATGGTGTTGCTAAAAAGGAAAAACGAATGCAATCGTGTTCTACCCAACCAAACTTACCACTAGCTATTAAAACCATCCCTAGACTCTTGTTCAGTCCAGTTACTACTAGCGCTCGGTAAATTTTATACAATTGAAAATACCATCTCTAGTCAACAATCTAGTTCTGATATCAGATACAATATACTTATATGTTCGGGTTTCTGTTGCCCGCAGGTGCTCAAATTAATAAAGAAGAGAGAAAATATTGTGACAATTTAAAATTGTATAGAAAAACCAATTATACTAATTATATAAGTACCAATAACAGTATTATATTTTCGATGATCGTCGACGTGTGTCTACTGAAAAAATAAAAATATGCTCGAATAAAACTGTATTATATTTGCATAATTAACCGGGTATTATTACGTAGTTAGCTACAAATAATTGATTCCAAAATCGACATGACAACGGCTACAATATAAAATAAAGTTTAATGAATGTTTTGGTGTCGCATTTAAACATTATATTATTTTCGAAATAATTAGTCGTTTATTTAATCAAATCTATTCTTATTAAATAGATACACTGTTAACATGTCGAATTCTAGTTTGTTTAAGGCGGAGAGAGCGATGGCTCTTGGCCAGTATACCCGAACAGTTAAATATTTTAAGGCGTACTTGCGTAGAAAGCCACGGGTGCCTTTAAACGAACAAGAACTGAACATGTTGTCGGATGCCTACAAGAACAGGTTGAATCAAAAGCGATATACTATGCGGAAACTAAAAGTACGCATTGAATCACTTGGAGTCGAAGACGAGGAGTATACGATCCTTTCTTCGAAGTTGGATACATATCGAAATGAGATGATTTTAATTTGTAGAGACGTCATTGACATAATAAATGACAATTTGATCTTTAATTGCGTGGAAACTCGAGAGAGCGTGTTAATTCATACGATGAAAGGCGACTTTTACAGGTAAAGCCTCTTTCCCATATTAACGGTACTATATATAGTAGTACTTTTATTGTAATGAGAACGTAAATTATTGAGACTGCTACACATCCAATTTTTAAAGGGTTGTATACAATGTATAATGCATATTTTGTTACTTAAGTTTGTTCTTTAAAATTTACATAACTATTATTATCATACATAAATTAATATCGTTGATATTATTTAATGATTATGTTGTGACATGTATAGTGTATACTTTATTATTAGGTATTAATTTAATTGTTATGAACTCTCACTTCCACACAGCCAATGGCTTGGAAGTGACCAACTACTGTTATTTTATATTTTCTCTTTTTTTAAAAAAATGTAAAACAATAGTTGGAAATAAATAAATATTATGATTATTATTATTATATAATGTATGTACGTAAGTAAACGAGATAAATGCAATATTTAAAAAAAAATTATTATTTATCAACTAAAAACTATTCAAATTCATTTAAAATAAATTTGAAAGTTGTCCCGTGTCACAAGTATTAATTATTGTGTAACCATGAAATTTGAATAAAACTTACGTATGCATATGTTAGATATAGAGCTGCGCAATTATTTTTGTTGGCAAATAATCGATAATTTATAAAGATGACAAATAATCGATTAATGAAAATAATTGCGTGGCCCTAGTTATATATACATTTTATATTTACGCGAATATGAATTCGGGATTCAATATTAAAATAAATACATGCAATTTTCTTTTTATAACGAGAACACTGTGATACACTTTTCTTATTTAATTCAAAATTTGATCCAATTTTATTTTATGAACATTTAAAAAAACACGTAAAATCGACGAAGTTTAATGTAAAGATAGTATTAAAACGTATTAATTTTCTCGAGATTTTTTTTGATAGTAATATTACTAGTTCAGAAACGATTGATAGGTACTTATTGTTCTATTTGTCTGTAAATTGTAAATTTTAGGTGCATTTGGGAAGAAGATAACAATGAAGTAACTTGCAGAGAAACTACCAAGGAATACCATACGGCTTACAGTTTGTGCGAATGGAATTTTGAATCATCAGACCCACTTTTGTTGAAAACAGCTATGAAATATGCATTTCAATTGAGTGACGCTGGCAATAATAGATTGGCCATAGTGATTTTAAAACGTGTCATTGATAATGCACAAGAGCATTTGGACAAAAATTACTTGGCGGATAAACCAATAATTGAATCACTTATTATGGATTTAAATAATAATTTAATCATGTTTATTGATAATCAAAGAATTGTTGATTACATCGAAGAATTGGTTTCAGGAATGATTGAACCACTTGAAAATCAATCTGCGGATAATATAATTTCAAGACGGCAAGGGTAATATCATCAACTTTTTTTAACTTACTTTTTTTACTAAACCCCGAGAGACAATTTGTAATTCTGTACATTTTTTATAAACCATTTTCTTAAACTTACTTTTTTTTAAAAATACCGAGGGCTAAAAGAGGGACAATGTACGTACAATACTGTCTATATACCTCTTTTTAAATACCGATGAGGACCAAGAGAGAGAGACGATCTACACTACTGTACATTGTTTATAAACCTAGTTTTCAAACTTGATGTTTTTTTCAATCTCAAAGAACAATAGTTCTATATTGTTATAATATTGAATAATGTATATTTTTATTGTACGATTCAATAAAAAAAAAAAAAAAAAATTGTGTTGTTTGTTTATTGTTTATAATAATATTCTTCCTCGCGATTTTCCCCTTGCTAAAAGTGTGCAATATTCACAATATTATTTAGTATCTATTTAAAAACCAAATGGACAACAATTGTTTGAAATATAACAAAAAAATCAATTAAAAAACTATTTATCTATTTTAGTGCATATAATTTCTGTCTCTAGTTATAATAATATGAACGATCTACGATTAAACAGATAATACACATACTAAAAGTTTAATCTGAATAAAATAATAATTTGTATAAAACTGGGATAAAACCGCAAGTATTAAATAAAATATAATTTGCTGGTAGGACGGATGCAATAATTGCATACAGGAATTACTTGTGTAGTCCTTTATCGGATTTTTTAATTTTGGGAGGCAATTCGTATGCACCCAATTAATTAATCTTTTAAAAATTAAAAATTCAACACGTCATTTTGAAAAAATAAAAATATAAAACAAAATTAGTATAATCGGTGTAAAACTTAGTATTTATTCTTAAAAGTATAGGTTCCGGTTTTAGTTCTGATTATTTGAAAATATTTAAATTCGGTTCCAGCTAGTTTCCAGTTCTTAATATTTAAAGGGGTTTTAGATTTCAGAGCCGGTTCTTTTCGGTCTAGTCTCAGGTCCCTCCACAGAGTAATAATACAAAAGTTAGTGTATACAACAAATATAATAGTTTGCATATTTTAATATTTTATTTTATACTTGTATCTACTTGCTTACTACTTACCTACTTACTAAGTTAGAGTATATTATAAAGTATGTTCAATACTTCTAGTATAATAGATATATATATATAAATATATAATTTTAAAAGGAATAGAAGACGGTAGAAGACTGAAGGATATACTACATATAATTTTTTTTCGTTAGGCGTCTATACGAAAATAAATCGTGTGCGATTTTCCTATTTAGTGCAAACCTCACATTAATTATACATACTGCCTATTTTGTGTATTCGTCAGAATATACATACACATATTATTATACTGTATAAGGTAACTATAGTTAAATTTCCAATTTATAACGGCTTAAAATTTCAATTAAATGTTTCGATGCCTTATAAACTTAAGGGGATTGGAAGCGATGACATTCTGTTTTTGTCTTACACATGCGAAACATAGGAATTTCGATTTGTTCTATTTCCAACGTACTGTTAGTCTAGTGAGGCGATAAGCACTCTGAAAACAGATTTGAATTTGTCGTCAAGTTAATTTGAAATCGATTTTTCCACAATTTTGATTTTAATTTCTCCAAAAATTAAAATACTCCCTTTTTTATTACTCCTTTTTTACTATGGGTTTTTTAGGATTTAGTGGAAAATTGATATCAAGTAGACTTGATGAAAATTTAAATCCGTTTTGAAAATAAACCATACATGGATTAGCGATGTGTACTGCGGCGCCATGTAGAATATTATCTGTTCTAAAAATAAATTTTAAACGGTATGGCGGAAATTGTGAAGCTGATAATGATTACACATGAAAAATTATGAATTAAATAATGAATATTAATTACAAAAAAATTCTCAAAAATTTTTTCCCTAAAATGCAAAAAACTGACAGCAATAATTGTTGTCAATGTATCGATTTTTTTTTGTTGATTTCTGGATTATCTTGGTTGTACAATAGGTAAATACGAATAATACTACTAAAGTACTAATTCACTCAAATTCATTTTTTTTTTATTTTTATTTTTTTAGGTAATAATTCGCAAAGATAAATTAATTTCTAGACCAATTGAATATACCAATGTGCAAGGTATGCAAATGCAACCATGTCACTTCTAAATAGTTCCAATGTTCAAACCTGTAAAATGTGAAATATTTAGGCATGACCACCGCAGAATTTTGATTATAGGTGCCAGTAAATTTTATAATCGTAGCTTTTTTCTTATCGTACGTTTACTTTCAATTTTAAGGTATTTATTTTTTAAGGCACTCTATAGCGTTAGCCTATGCATTTAGGCCTCGCAACAGTACTTTGTTCAGGGCCTCATTACATCTGTCGCCGGTACTGGACATACGAACATAGACCAGAACAATGGCTAATTTATTTATACTTAAATTTTGTCTTAAATTATCTTAAACTATGTATATAATTTTGTCTTTTTTAATTGTAAATCATTCACATTTTAATTTTCACCAAACGTCGATTCTTGTATCATAGCTGTAATGATAAATTGATAAAGCGAATAATAAATTTAATCAATGATGACCATACCAAACAATATTACTATACAAATTATTTCATATTTTCATAAAAATTCACTAGATATAAATAAAAAATAAAAATAGAATGTTTGGTGTGAATGTAAATTTATTCAATTTAAAATTATTCTTAATCTTTTTTTCATTTTTCCGAAAAAAAAAAAAAACAAAAACAAAAACCAATTACCCAGTCAAAAATAAAGCCACCGTGATAAAAAGTATGTATTTCCATTTTCTATTACGTGAACGAGATAAATACTTTGCCTCAGGACGTTTGTAGAGCATCGCCACTGCATAAACCTCCCAGGAATAAGTCCTTGGAGGGACGTATAAGATGTAATATGTATGTGGCGTGAAAATCTAAAATGTGGCCTTGACTAAAACTATAGTGTGGTAACATTAGTGTCGTGTGAAACGAGCTAAGATCGTTCGCATATTGTGCGCATTTTTTTTAGCCTGTAGTCTTTTACGGGCGTCTGTGACGTAATTTATCTTTAGAGGAACAATAATATTCATTACACTGTCGATTTCTCAGACATTTCCCATCGTCGCGTGAATTTTCCGATGTACCGTGGTGTCACCGCCGAACGCCGTTTTCCGCGGCACAAACACGTGCAAAATATGTCACACGCCCGAGACGCGATACTCCCGTCGTCGAATTTTGACGAAACACAACTCCATCTCTCTTTCTTTCTCTCTCTCACTCACTCTTTCTCCGTGTCTCTGTCTCTCGTAACAACACCACAGGATTACGAATTAAATCCCCTGTCAGCGACGGCCACTACTACAACGCTTACCGTACCTATATACGTCTATTCCAGCCCTCGGGCGGCAAAATATCAAAAGGATTTGTCGACTCCACTCCTCTCTCCTATCATGTCCCCCGAGACACGGTCTGGAGAAACGCTACAGAATTGGAAAAATACCAAAACAAACATTACACATGGCGCGGTGTTTACCTACACAAACCGCTCACGCCGCGTATACATACACACCGCGCGTTTACAAGTTGTGATCGTTTTAAAACTCGTGCGTCGACTTAACTTGGATACTGCCGACAGTTTTGGTCGGGTTTATTTTTGGACGAATTTTAAGATTTTTAACTCCGTCGATTCGGACGGGAACTGGAATTAATTATTTTCGTAATGTATTAAAATGGAGATAATGTGTCTTTGAATAAACATCAATAATCCGCAGTATACGTAGACGTAATAAAATTTGTATGCCTTAATATTTTTCGGAAATTATTAACGGAATATCCATAAATTATATTTTTTAAAAAAAAATGTAACATTATTTTTAAATCAATTACTTCAAAAATAATGTACAATCGTATTATAATTAAGACACACTTTGTAGATATTATTTTATGTTCGTCAGATTCCCAAACTAGGTTCCAGTGAAATTAATTACGGATTTTGGCGGTATTCTTTTGACTAGGAGAAACGATAATAATTCAATTAGCAACATTAGGTATACCTACTTAGAGTGGTACTGCGGAACGGACTTTTATTATTGTTGATGATTTATCAATAAGGTAGAAAAATATAATTACATTTTTGGTTTTCGCTTTAGGCCTTAGGGGGTATATCATAACTTAAAGTCTTAGTGCGTATAAAGAGTAGTGTAGTGGAAAAATACCACAAATGAGCGTCCCAATTTAATTTAAAAAAAAACCAACAACAACTTACATTATTAGATTAAAACTACGTTTTCTGAACAAATTTTTCTTGTTTACTCAAAAAGTCCATAACGATCATAATTAAATCAAATTTTTATATTTACTGAGCTAATTATTTAATGCCAACAAATAAATAAGGTAAAAATGGTCTATACGCTTTCAACTTATATTATTATATCTATGTGTTAAATTATTTATTAAGTGTACTTAAGCCATGTAATATGTATGTAGTCCATTGTGTATACAAAATTTATATGGAATTGTAGTATCAAAATATAGAACTATTTATATCTCATTTCTGAATTCATTACTGCAGAATCTAGGAAATTAATAAAAACCATAACTACTTATTACATTTGTATTATATCAGAGTCTGTTTGGATTTCCTACGTCTGTTATAATCGAATTACTGATGGGGGTTGTGGGGAGGGGCCGTAGAAACATTTCTCTAGCTTCCGGATTTTAAAAATGTATAAAATTCATTTTTAGTACCATTGTATAGCAAATCGTTTGTTCATATTTGCTTGACATATTTTAGAATTTGTTTGGACTTTCTACGGCCGTTATGATGAAAATAATCTCTTACGGTAGATTTATCAATCTGTATATCCTCGTATATTTTTACTGAGGATAAAATTAATATAGAATATTGTCTAGGTAAGAAAATCTTTGTATATTTTTAACGAGGAAAGGGATAATACGTTGTTGTAATGATATTACTACATTGTCTCTGTTACACCGGTCCTGTCCAG